GAAAGCTTGAGGTAGGGGATGGATCTGGCCATGGCGGCAGGCAGCCATGGCAGCCGGCGAGGGGAGCCTGGCCGCCGGCGATGAAGGTCGTGGTGGCCCAGTCGCAGCTCGGGAAGAGGGGAGGGGGAGGGGACACACTTCCAGGAGGCGGCGCTCGCGAGAGGAAGAAGAAGCATATAAGAAAAAAAATGTTCCGTCCGTGAAAAAAAGCGAGCGAGCGAGGGGCACCGGCCGAAGCGTTCCGCCGGTGCGCCGATGCCAAATGTTTCCCATAAAACAACCCTTTCTACATGTACAATTTTTATTTGGGTGCAACTGGATCTCAGTTAACTGAGACGTAACAAAATTCGTCAAGTGACAAAACTTATAAAAAAGAAATAAATAATTACACAAACATTTGTGTAAGATCTCATGAATATAGCATCGGTTAAGAATTCATTAAGTCCGTCGACTGAGATTGAGCAATCCCGTTTTTATTTCTGATCTCCCTCAAAAGATGGGCTGGTGCGTGGCCGATGGTGCCGACGGCCCATAGTACGTCTGCGTGTTCACCCACATCAGCGACAGAATGGAGACGAAGAGCACCGACCAGAGCATGGCGATGGTCGGCGCCCGTTCCCGCCGCGAGAGGAGCCCCCTGAGGAACCCCTGCAGATGCGCCACCACCCACGCGGCGAACACCAGCTTCCAGCCTAGCGGGCCCCAGGACTCGTGCCCGTGGTCCATCCCGTACGACACTGCCACCACCACGCCGGCGAGGTTGCCCAGCAGCACGCTGATCGGCGGCACCAGCAGGTTCGTCCACAGCACCGACCGCATCGAGTCCGGCATCATCTCCTCCTCGTCATCGTCCTCGGACGGCTGACCGGACACCGCCGGCGCCGCCGCCGTGTCCGTCGAGAAGCCGACGTCGATGCCAGTGCACGCCCTGAGGATGCCCTGGAAGACAGCGGCGAGGCCCGCCGATGTGCCGATCACCACCCAGAGCTTCTCGGCTCGCCACCACGCCCGCAGCGACACGCCGCTCCACTTCAGCTCGAGTGCCACGGACGCGATCACCGAGGACAGCAGCAGGACGAGCAGGAACCCGTCGTAGTCGTCCACGTCGTCGGGGAATATGAACTTGCCGGTGAGGAGGCAGACGGCCGAGAGCGCGCAGTAGACGGTGAGCGGGATGGAGGTGAGCGGGTAGGCGACGCAGTTCACGTAGGCCAGCCGCTGCAGGGGCCTCATGCTGCCGCCGCCGGCCCAGACGGGGCAGTGCCGGCTCAGCAGGATCCCCATGGCCGCCGACGCCCTCCGCGACGCGCCGGCGAGCATGTCCGAGGGGCTGGCCCCCGCGTAGCTCCTGAACGCGGGTCGCGCCGGCACGCAGTACGCCGACGCCCACCCGCGCGCGTGCATCCTGAATCCCGTCGCCAGGCCGGCGCCGGCGCCGTAAATCCATCCGACCTGCACGAGGACATCAACGTCAGATCTCAGATCTCGACGGCACGCGTGTCTGCACGCCAAAGAAACTAGCCATTGTCACTACCTCTTTGCCCCATCTCGTCCGCTCCTCGTACGCGCAGCTGACGACGTGGATGGCCTCCTTGAGGAGAGGAGTGGGTGCAACTGCCATGGCCGCCGCCGCCGGCCCTTTCTCTTTGAACGCCGAGGCGATGAACAATGTGGAATGGCCGAAGTGGCGCTGCAGCGCGGCGTGGTACGAGAGCAGCCTCCGCCTCCTCGCGCCCACTGTTTCCTCATCGTCGTCTGCAGAGTCCAGCAAGGGCACGACGGACCTGTTCCTCCTCAGCCTCAGCTTTCGCCTCTCGCTGCCCCCGAAACAGCACCACCTCCGACGGCCGGTCTCCAGGTCGTCGGCGTCGTCGGCCTCAGCCGCCGCCGGCTCGAACCCGTACAGCGCCTTCCGGTTGAAGCAGCACCCGGAGCCGACGTAGACCGGGCCTTGAATGCCGTCCAAGCATTTCATGTCGATCTGACGAACCGAATGAACGTTAGCGTGATCGGTCGAGCAGATGAACCGAATCGGCGGCACAGATGGCGGGCAAGTGAAGTGAACTCGATTCTTTACATCGAAGAAGACGGAGTCGCGCTCGCGGCTCCCCCACCGACCTCCCTCGTCGTCGGCCGCCGAGACGGCGGGCCGCAGAGGGAACTGGACGAAGCACGTCCTGTTGCCAGCCTCCGGGTCCATGAGGAAGCACATGGCCTCCCTCAGGGCTCCGCTGTTGTTGACGTAGTGGTCGTAGTCCAGGTTGAGCACGTAGGCGCCATTTGTCAGCACGGCGGACACCCGGAGCTGTCACTCAGAAAAACCAGGTCAGAGAAGAGAGAAGCACTGCAACTCACGGAACAAATCGTTAGAAAATTGAAGTACGGCCGCACGGACCAATGCGTTCATGGCGCCGGCTTTCTTGTGGTGCTGGAAGCCCGGCTTCTTCTCCCGCGACACGTAGAAGAGCCGGGGGAGCTCCACCCCCTCGGCGTCGCGATCATCGGCGGAGTGCCCCAGGAGGACCTGTCGGACGATCAGCTCAAAACGTAAGTTCTAAAGAATGAGCCAAAAACGTCGTTGGATTATTCGAGACACGGCGGTGCAGCAAGTAGGACCTGTATCATGGCGGGGTGGTCTCTCGAGTTGTTCCCGGGCCACGGCGTGCCGTCGGACATGAGCCATCCTTCCTCCGGCACCTTGCTCGTCTTGGCAGCGAGGTAGTTCATCCTCACCTTGAACTCCTCGTACTCCCTCTGCATGCACGCGCGCCACCTTGAACTTCAGATCACACCTCCGATCGATCAATCTGTTACACGATTATATATATACCTTCATGGCGCGGCGCTCCTTGACGAAGGACGGCGCGACCTTGTCCCGGAGGTAGTCGACGTTCCGCGCGAAGTAGGGCTCGGGCGCCCGCGGCTCCACCCCGTGGCGGCGGCAGAAGGGGACCCACCTCCGCGCGAGCCGCGCCGTCTCGAAGAGCGCCTCGAAGAGCAGCATGTCGGCGCCGTCGTCTGACACGTAGCACGCGAGCCTGCCGGCGGGGTAGTCGGCCGCGAGCACGGACAGCACCGTGTTGGCCGTGGCCAGGGGCGGCTCCCTGCTCGCGTCCGCCGCGCTCACGAACACGTCCACGCCCGCCATCCGCCTCCCGCCGCCAGAGCAGTCGTCCTTGTCGAGCCTGTGGAGGTGCGTGGCGCGGGTGGCCGGGGAGAGCTTGGGCAGCTGCGCGGCCAGCCACGAGAGCGCGAGCCAGGCCTCGCAGGCGACGGCCGTGAGCCACAGCCCGTAGGCGTCGGGCACCGGGTGGGTGACGCGGTACCGGAGGAAGAGCGCCAGGAGGGCGGCGCGGAGCGCGACGGCCGCGCGGTACAGGCTGAGCTGCGCGGACGGGACGGGCGCCTTGTTGCTGAGCGGCTGCGGCGGCGGCCGGCCGTCGCCGCCGCCGCGGGCTGCGCTCGCGCGGAGGCCACGCTCCGGGGTGTTCGGAGGCGCCTCGTGGAGGCTCCACTCGTCCATCTCAGAGGGAGCCGGGTGACCTCGGACGTGCGGGAAACCGTCGTCTCACGCTGACAAACATAATAGCCTTGGATGCTACGACCAAGAGAGCTATTTATACGTAGTATACTACTATGAAAGATCGAGTGGATTCCTTTTGTCCCCGTCGACGAGTCCAGTCGTGCGCATTCCGTCCCACCTCCCACGTATGTGGGTGCGAGGAGATGCCGTGCGTAATTCACACGGTGATCGCGAGGCGGTCTGGGCGAAAGAAACAACGGCATGGTGCGGGGCGGATCGACGCTTGTGGCAACAACGGACAAGTGGCTGTCTAGGAAGGATGAGCTTATCCTGAGCTGAGGGATCAGGAGAAGCAGTCAAGCGCCCGCCGCCTGCTTGTTGCACTAAACTACTGTATTAACTGAACACTAAGCTAACACGTGGATCGATTGACAATGAAGTAAGATATACACATAGATCCATAATTCCACAGATTATAGTGCAGACGTACGCAGCTTCAAGAGCACAATTGCCTCGCTCTTGAAGGGAACGTCGCCTCCCCGCAAATGAAATAATAACCAATCTTCCTGCACAAAAAGAATAATCCATATTAATGAGACACCTAAGCATCGTATATGTGCTTTCATTCCTTTTCCAAAAAAAATATGTGGTTTCATCTATGGTGAACCAGGGATACCACCACTGATCCCCCCCCCCTCCCTCCCCCGCGCCCCCCTAACATCCCACGTGAACCATCGGCGCTGCCATAGACAACATCATCATGACGAGATGGATCAAGGAAAGCTATTCCCTTTATGTACATCGCCGCTATGATCAAGACGTGTGCCACCGGAGACAAATCTATTTTACACTATGCCACCATCGCCGAGCGTTGAAACTATATCTATATTTGGTAAACCGAAGCCTCCCTCCGTCTCAAAATAAGTGTCTTAACTTTGTACTAAGGTTGAGACACTTATTTTGAGACAGAGGGAGTATTTGATTATTTAATTGGTTGAACATCAATTTTTCCAAGACCATATTTAATTACATAATTTAAACACTAAATTTGCACCATTTTTTCTGGTTTTGTGCAAGTTGAATTGATGCCACATTCATTTTTCTTCTTCTTAATATTGAATTATTTAAGTTTTATTTGTGCAGGTTTTAGACTTGTATCCAGACGCACATGTCAAGCACCAAAGTTGCACCTTTCCATTTTGCCATTTTTGTTTGGCCAGCAGATCAGGATCATACGCCTTCTTTTTAAAATTGCTACCTACTCATTTCAGTTTTAAATTTAGCAATTCTCAGTCAACCAAACCGTACGGCCACAGACCATGTTTTGTTATTGGTTTTTGTGCCCGTGTCAACGATTCATAGCTACTACGTACGTGTGCTCTGATGGTACAAGAAACTTAAATCAGTTGCATTTGCACCTTGAACAATTCGCATCCCTACTAGTGGGAGCATGGTACACAGTTTACATACATGTGTGCATACATCAGTACATACAATACTCAACCTTCATCAATACATACAAGTCTGACGTGTGTACATGCGGCAGGGACCGGTCCTTCACAGTACATTATATGGTGCCGGCCGGCTCCCCTCGCTCATTTGAGACTAAGCAATTTCAGTCTAAAATGCATAGTATATTGCATAGGCGTAGTATATCTTTTAGGCGCTTTAATTATGTCCATCTAATTAAACAACACACTAAGCTAATCACAGGAACTGTCACCATTTCAGCAACTTCCTTATTACATTTCACAATTAAGTACGTACGTAGCACTCAGACGTCACACGGGCACGGCGGTACTATTGGCTCTAGCTATCCCCGCCGGCACCGCCACTGCCACCCGGTCCTCTCCTGTTACCGGTGGTGTTTTTCAGTATCTGCAAACGGGGGATTGGTCAGACTATGAAGGCATCTCCCGCTTAACAAGCTATATATAGCTCTACAAGATCATGTTATTAACTAGTAACTGATATAGTTAATGAGAGGTGGCGTAATATCGACTAATCTCAAGTACGTATGCCTCGAACATACTCCTCCTGTTTCTAATACGGACTACATACAGATGTATATAGACTTAATTTAAAATGTAGATTCATTCATTTTGCTACGTATGTAGTTCTATTGAAATTTCTAAAAGGTTTATATTTAGGAACGGGGGGAGTATATGATTCTCGGTTACATACCTGTCTAAGCATTTGGTTCTCGTTCTGCAGCGTGGAGAGCCTCTCCTCGAGCTCTGAGTTTCTTGTCTCCAAGTCCTTCACCTTCGCCTCCAGCTCGCCCATGTACGCCTTCTTCCTCTCCCGTGCCTGTTGCGCCGACACCCGGTTCCTCAACAATCTAGATTGATTAGATTGTAGCGAGACCACATAGTTGTTAAGGGTAAATAAGAGTTAGCACACCTTTATTTCTTACGGTTAAGCTAGATAATAAAATACTCTTGCTCAGTCTATATGGATACTCCATGCTAAGATGTGATGAACGTTCGGTAGCTATTGCGACAGAGAACACATTTTCTAACAAACAAACAAACAAACAAACAAGAGCAATGGTTGTCTGTTTTGTTTATCAAAAGCTCTAGTACTTCCTTTTTGCAGGTTATATATCTTTTGAGCTACGCGCTGAATGTATCTTGGGGAGATCTTCTTGCACATTGAAAATTATGTGGAAGACACCATAATTACTTCAAGCATAAGAGGAATGCAATAGGAAAATCTTGGCTCGAGGGCTTTGCAGAAGATAGCGTCAGCAACATGTGCAATTGCATACGGTGTCCCAGCTGATGCTAGATATGGGTGCTTTGGGGAAGAAGGAACCATCAAGAATGTGAGGAATTTTGCAAAGTTGTGATTGAGGTCTTTGGAGATGAGTGTTTGAGAGCACCCAATGCAGATGGCATTGTAAGGCTCGTGGAGATTGGTACATCAACATGGTTCCCGGGGATGTTTGGGTGCATCGATTGCATGCACTGGAGATGAAAGAATTGTATGGTAGCATGGCATTGGCATGATCCAACGATCATACTTGAACTGTTGCATCACATGATTTATGAATTTGGCTTTGCTATTTGGGATTCTTGGCTCTCACAATGAACTTAGTGCCCCGCAAAGATCTCTTCCATTTGCATGGCTTTCTACTAGAAATGCTCTACCTTGCAATTGTGTAGTCAATGGTTAATTACCAGTATGATATGGGCTACTGACTTATAGATGTCATCTATCCTTCATCGTCTACATTTGTGGACACAATTGCATACCCTCCAGGAAACACGAGAGTTCACTTTTCCAACGCTCAAAAACCTTTGAGTAAGGAGGTTGTGAGAGCCTTTAGGGTGATTTTTCATGGATGTGATATTTTGGGACCAATAGACAATGTGATCATGCATTACACGATAATAGAGAATGAGATGGTCCAAGAGAACTTTGAGTATGATTACATGGGAACACATGGGAACATATGTGATCATGCATTACACGATAATAGAGACATATATGTGATCATGCATTACACGATAATAGAGACATATATTTTCATGGATGTGATCGTTTTAGGCTACCTCAAGAAAATCCGACAAAGCTAGGTTGCATGGCCAAACTAAAGTCAATAAGTATGTCAACTACAAGGATTGTCACATGCAAGACAAGCCATTAACACAATTTCTGAGATTTGTCTGTGCCTTCTAGATCTTATTTGTGGGGAACTTTGGATGTCTTCTACTAATTTAATTGCATGCGTAGACTTTGCCTAGTAGTGGTACATTAGTGCACCAATAACATCTGATCGAGTCACTGCTTGATGGCACCAGGTTGACTAATATTATGAGGATCCACTGGATGGACTACATGAATTGGTCTGTGTTGGTTAATATTCAATCTATCTAACTAGACAGAGCAATGTTACAAGCTATTATGATTTACCATTCACCAACTTCTTTTGTAATGTTACATTCTCACGGCCTAGTGGAAATCTCGAAGAGCTTTAGAGCATGTCCTCAGAATGCCCCGTTCCTCGCCTCTTTTCCATGGCCAACACCACCATTTTCCCCATGATCCTCAAGTGTATCTCGATCAAAGAGAAAAATTAGAGATGTATGTATCACCGGAAGGTAACTGCGAGCCCGATTAGTACCTTGCAGGTCCTTCCATGAGTGTGAAAACTGATCAATGTCCATTATGCTGGGACAACCAACTCCCTAGATCTTGAGATGATAGACCCATCATGTCATTGTTATCCACTTACATATGCACCAATAGGATAGGCAATCGAGCTTGAATGAGGTCCATTTTTGTAGTAAAATGACATACGGCAAGTCATGGTTATCGAAAGAACTAACTAATTGGCAAATGAGATGGCCAATGTGATAATATGATAATCATCCTTTTGGAACCTCCTATAGTGGACAGGAAACCTTTGGTGACAAGGATATCGGGGAGATCCAAACCATCACATCCAGCTAGAACATCTTTGACTTAATCATATTGGTGTGCAAGCCCATTGGCCTATCTGTAGCAATCTTGAAGTTCATGGCTTCCGACTTTGGCTCATCAGGGTGGCACAATGCTTGTGCCATTTACATATAAAGAATTTGGTGGACATGGCAAGGATATATGGGCCTAAGAATTCCCTATAAGTCCCTCCTGTTTGGTTTAGATGGGACTTATAGGGACTTATTTAAGTCCCTAGACCAATAAGTCCCTGTAAACAAACACCCTCTTACTTCCTACTAAAATGTGAGCTAAAAAGTTTGAAGTTACTATCAACATGTTGACTTAAACTTCTAACCTTCAAATTCTAGTTGTACTCTTATCAGTAATTTGAATTATTTAGTTCTCTTTTAATTGGTATTTCTGATGATACGTCCATTGTATAGAGTGGGTATTTTTATGTCACTGCTAAAAACCGTTTGATTTGAAAATTTCATGCAAGTGCAAGAGAATAAGAATGTATTGATTGGACAATTGAGAGTAGATTAACGAGAAGTACTCCCTATGTCTCTCAA